CTGCACCTGTGCAGCCCGGGGGCCTGCGGCTCACCCCCGGCCCCCTCCACCTCACTCTGGCCCCCTTCCTCTCTCCTAGGGTCCCTCCTCTCACCAGGGGTCCTCTCCTCCTCACAAGGTGCTGTCAGGCTTTCTGAAAACACACGTTGCTTCTCCTGATTCCGGGGCTGTTACCCGCTGGCCCTCACCCACACGTGTCGCCGGGGTCATTTACTCCCTTCCTGTGTGTGACGTCCACAGGTCCAGTTCCCACAGCACACATCACCTCTGCACGCCCGCTGGCTTACCCCTGCCCTGGGTGGAGCTGGGTGCTAAGGTGACCAGGTATTTCTGAGAGCTGTGGCTGCTGCTGGCCGTCTGTCTCCATTGAAGTGGAAGCCAGGGATGAACTAGCTGGCCTTGACATCGCCCTGTTGGGAAGCCCCCAGCACACCCCGTGCATGCCACATGCCTCTCGCTAAGAACCTGCCCTGTCGAAGCTTGGGTCTGTTCCAGGGCTCAGCGTTTCTGAGTGCTGCTTCCAGAATGTTCTTGGGAAGTCCCCAGGGCACTGGCTGGTGCAGGAGCTGCTCTTGGGCCTTACCAACACTGGTGTCCACTTTAGAGGCACACCTGGTTGTCTAGAACATTCTGGCTGCATTTCATTCAGCACCTTTCTGTGCCTGTGACTGCCAGCAGGAAAGTACATCTCAGCTAGAAGCCACGCCGTGGCTGAGCACTGAGGGCCGCCCCTCCCCCGTCACTGTCCCTCTGTCTAATGTATTCTTTTCAGCCAGGCTGACGGCCGGGGGCCAGCTGTCCCGGCAGCCACGTCAGCTGCAGCAATAATGGGTTCTGTGAACCCATTCATAAGGTGTCATCTTCAGGGAGGACAGGGCGGGGGAGAGCTGGGCTCCTCCTGTGAACCAGACACAGGCAGCCACCACAGAGCGTGTGCACACGGGGCTGGCCATGGCTGGGAGTGTGTGTGTGTGTGTGTGTGTGTGTGTGTGTGTGTGTGCACCTTGGTGTGTCGTCATGTCCAAGTGGGCACATGTGGAGGTAGTGGATTACAGGTCTGTTTATGTGTCAGCTTGTAAGCTTGGTATATGTGTATGAGTGTCCCACTATGGTCACTGCAGCATGTGTGCGCTGTGTGTGTGGTCACTGTGTGTGTGTGTGTGTATGTGTGTGTGTGTGCGTGCGCTGTGTGTGTGGTCACTGTGTGTGTGGTCACTGCAGTGTGTGTGTGGTCATTGAGTGTGTGGTCACTGCAGACTGCGTGGTCACTGTGTGTGTGGTCACTGCAGACTGCGTGTGTGCTGTGTGTGGTCACTGAGTGTGTGGTCACTGCAGACTGTGTGTGCGCTGTGTGTGGTCACTGAGTGTGTGGTCACTGCAGACTGCGTGTGCGCTGTGTGTGGTCACGGTGTGTGTGGTCACTGCAGTGTGTGGTCACTGCAGACTCTGCGTGTGCACTGAGTGTGTGGTCACTGCAGACTGTGTGGTCACTGTGTGTGTGGTCACTGCAGACTGCGTGTGCGCTGTGTGTGTGGTCACTGTGTGTGTGGTCACTGCAGTGTGTGGTCACTGCAGACTGCGTGTGCACTGACTGTGTGGTCACTGCAGACTGGTCACTGTGTGTGTGTGTGGTCACTACATTATGCTTGCTGCCCAGGATGCGCAGCATTCCCCACTGTCCCCAGCCTCGGCCTGTGATGCCCAGTGTGCCACAGTGCCATGTGAGGACGGTGAGTAAAGCCAGGGGCATGCTTGCTCTACAGGCGCAGCTGTCACAGGCTGCAGGGCTCACACTCGTGTGTGCAGAACCAAGCATGCCGACAGTCCATGGCACGGCTCTGTGGCCCCCCAGGCCAGGCTGGAGCCAGGCCCTCATGTCCCCCTTGGCTGTGGTCTGGGCTCTGCAGCGGCCAGACAGCTGTGTGCACACCAGCAGACAGAAGATTTTCTGTCTCTCCTCACTGTAAACCTGCCTTTCCAACTAAAAAATGAATAAATCTTCACACACACACACACACAACTCAAAATCTTCCGCAGCCTGTGCCCTCCCCGAGTTCTGGCCCCACCCACCTGCACTGCCCCCTGCCCTAGAAATCTGGTCCCCGCCCCCATTGCTAGGAGGCCACGCAGCTGCTCCTTCCCACTTCGAGGACAATGAGAAATGAAAACCAGGCAAGCAGGCCAAGGGCGCGTGTGCAGGCTCAGCACAGCCTGTGAGCACCTTCTCCCCAAGGACCATGCGCCTCCCGGGCAGGGGCAGCCCCGTGAGGTGGGGACCCAGGATGCGTGTGCGGGTGGCACTGCGCTCTGTGGATGTGGCTCTCGTCTGCCTATGAATGGGACACACATCCATTGCCCCTCTTTTTCAGAGAGAACGTGGTCCCCAGACGACAGCAGCCCCCACGTGGCTGGCATTGCTGCCTGCGGCCGGGGCTGCGGCCAGGAGGCCCCGCTGGTCGGAGACATCCTGCTCACGTCACACTCTCGCTGGTCTGAAGTATCACTCACAGTGCCACACACACGTGCTCACGTGTGTGCTTGTTCAAACTGCATGGATTTCAGCTCTTTTGAGGCTCCTGGAAATGAACAGGATAGTGAGGTGTGGCCAGTGTGCACATGGCACCCAGTCATGGCTAAGGAGGGCAGCGGAAGGGAGGGTAGGGCGCACAGTGTGGCAAAGGAGGGCAGTGGTGGGAGGGGGGACCTGGCTGGCAGCACAGCTCTCTGTGATGGCGGGGAGCAGGGCTCAGCAGGTGCAGATGGCAGTGGCAGGGCTAGGCTGCCCCAGGTGGACAGAACAGGGCAGTTCCTCAGGTCAGGCAGGTGCACCTGTTGGTCAGCGGGTGGTGGGTGCAGGTTTCAGCCAGGAATTGGAGCCACAGTTCCTGACCTCCACAAGGCCCTGCCCGGCCAGGCTTGGGGCCAGAGAACTTGGGTGAGATTCCACTGTGTGTTTCGCCTCTTAGGAGCTGCCCAGGGCTGTCTGAGGGGTCACTCACACACACCCCTGCCGCCTGGCAAGCTCAGGGGAGCTCCTGTGGTGGCCGATGTGTGCACCTGCCTGGCCGGCTCCTGGGGCCCTCGGCTGCCCCACCACGTTGGTTCAGCCCCTTGGGGCCCTGCACCGGGGCAGTCTCCCTCAGGCCAGGTGCTAAGCAGTAGCGCCTGCATCCACAGGCAGGCTGCAGCAAGGGGAACCTGTAACAGCGCCCCATGCTCACGCGGTGTCCCTGGGAGACACAGCTTCCTTCCTGTGTCACAAGCGCCACCTTAGCCACGCGAGGCAGGGCGCTTCAGAGCTGCACCTTTGTCCAGTCCCCTCCCCACCCCCAGCAGGAGGCTGGCCAAGGCAAAGGTGAAAAATAAGGTGCACTTCCCAAATCCCAGATCTCCCTGTTTGCTTCCCAAACTCGTGGGCTGGACTGCATTCCCAGAGTTACTGGGCCCTCTGGCCTCTGCTGCTCCTCACCCAAGAGGCAAGAGGAGGCCCTGAGGAGTGACCCCAGGCGACAGCAGTTCACACCACACACACAACACAGCGGCGGCGTTTGGGCCAGGTTGGCACCTCGCGCCATCCACTCCAGTGCACGCTGCCGACCGGAAGCTGCCGCCTTCGGGCCCCGAGTGCCTTACGTGGCCCCTGAGCCAGGAAGGGGGTGCACCTGGGGGTGAGGGTGGAGTTCACCCTCCCTGAACCAAGGGGGGCTATGTGCTGTGGACTTGGGTTCAGGCTCAGGAAAATCACATTGAAACATATGTATCGAGTTATATATTTGCTACCTGTGTATTTTTAAAGAAGCTTTATTGTCAATTTATGCAAACACCCCTCGGGCTGTTTCTCGCAGTGACCTGCCGGCTGGCCCCTCCCACTCTGGAGCCCTGGGCATGCTGCCCAGGCCCAGATGGGCTTGTGTGGTGCCCAGCCACAGATTTTACACTTATTTTTGTATTGTGGTTCCTATGATACATACCAGGGGATTTTTACACATTTGTGAATAACTGTACAGTTTTAATAAAAATCGTTTTGAATCTCAGATGATCAGACCACACCCAGAGGTGCTGTTAGAGCTGAAACCATGGGCAACATCAGGCACTGTATGTCTTGGCCCCCTACTCAGAGGGCCGGGGCCCCCAGGTCTCACCCGATGGGGACGGAGCCCTCCCCTGGCAGCACCGGTTATCAGATGTGAATGTGGAGGCAACTCCAATGAGTCGTCACACGAGGGAAGAATTCCTCCCATAAGGTTGGGGGTTGCCAGGTGGCCCACACAGGTGAGTGAAGAAGACCCGGACTTCTGGGTGCAGAAGCCCCCGCCTCACCTCCAGATGCCGCAGGAGCCAGAAGCAGTCTGCGAGGGTGGTCTCCAGGCCTCCCCACCTCGTCATTCCTCCCACCCATGAGGATGGTGGAGCCTACGGGAGCAAGAGGGAGATGGGCAGCGTTCAGCACCCGCCGTGTGGCCAGCTCCTTCCTCCACTCAGCTGGGGATAGGGAGAGCGGAGGCCCCAGGTCCCCCAAGTCCTGGGGTGCAGCCCTCAGCTTGGTCTCAGCAGGCAGTAGTCGCGGGACCCAGGCTGCTGATCTGGGGCTCGGGCCAGGCCTCCCCCGCCACCTGCCCCCAGCTGGCCCGGGTTCCTCCCCCAGACCTCCCCAGACACACTCCACGGGCTCCGAGCCCCAGGAGCGGGCCGCAGTGGCAGCTTCCAAGGCTGGCGCCGCTGCAGCGGAATCACGGGGGCAGGCGAGCGGCGCGCCCTCAGCAGGGATGGGGCAGAAGGGGCTGGCGGCTCCGACGCGCACGCGCCAGGAGCCTGGATCGGCCCGGGGGAGTCCGAGCTGCGGGGGTCTCGGGGAGCGGACCGGGGCGGGGCCCGGGGCGGGGCCGGCAGCAGGCGGGGCCCCGGAGCTGCGCGCCCCGCGCGCTCGCGCTCAGACGCCCCGCGACCCACGCGCACGCTCGGCTCTGCGCATTGCCCGCCGGAGCGGGCCCAGGAGCACCATGGCCTTCCAGGGCAGGAAAAGCGTCCCCCGGACCACGGTGAGCCCGGTGCGGGAGCGGGGCCGCGACCCTGCTGGACGCTCCAGGCGCCTGCGTGCGCCCGGGGCTGCAGGCCGCGTCACGGAGCGGAGAGCCCGGGACCGAGCCCGCTGAGCGCCGGGACTTCTGCGCTCCCAAGGCCGGACGGCGAGCGCCAGCTCCGTGACGCGGGGCGCCTTCCTCCCCGGGACCGCATCGCTCCGAGGTGCTGCCGTCTTGGCAGTGCAGGGTGGGGGTGGGGGCAACTTCGCAGCTGGAGCTCTTTGTCCGAGAGAAAGGCCTTTAGCCACCCGCACAGGGCCCGGGACCTCCGCCCCACCTCCCCTCCTCCAGCCACCAAGCCGGGGTTCAGGGGCCGTGAGGGAGGACGGGTGAGTCACTGCTGGTCACCCACTCACAGCCCGGCCTTAGCCGGGAGATGATTCCTAGCCCCAGAGGACTGAACGGCAGGCTGACCAGGGCGGCGTGGGAACAAAGCCCATCTCAACTCCCTCCCACCGCCCCACCACCGCACACACGCCCCCACCCCACAGCGGAGGAAGGAGGGAGGGCGAGGCAAGCCAGGTGAACCGAGTGCCTAGGGCCAGCCTGGTGCGAGCTTGGGCTTAGCGTGGTGCTGGGCAGCCTCCTGGGCTTTCACCTTAGTTCACTGCTCCCTGAACCCTCCTCTGCCCTTGCGTGGGCCTCCTGCCCTCCCCACCCCGCACTGTCCTCGGTCCAGCCAGTGGGTCCAGTTGTCAGCCTGGGACTCGGTCCCAGTGAGTTGGAGCGAGGGTCAGTGGGGTGCGTGCACCTCCCAGCCCCTGGGCTCCTAGCGGCTCTGACCCCCAGGAAGTGCCAGGACCTGAGTGTTGGAGGAGGTAGGCAGCTAGGGGGTGGGAGCAAGAGGCAGGCAGAGTGCCTGGCTGCCGGCCAGTGCTGAGCTGGGAGCAGGTGGGCAGTGAGCAGCTGCAGGACACGGGGGGTCAGGCAGGCCCTTGGGTTGGGGTCAGCAGCCAGGGCATGTTCAGCTGCGTGGCCCTCGCTGCCACTACACAGCCTGGCGTGAGTGCAGGCCCAGGCAGCTCTGGGGCTCACAGCCATCTCTGGTCTCCTTGGAGCGCTGGAGCTGGATTTCATGTGGCCCGGACTGGTCCTGGCTGCAGGTCACCCTGGGTAGGGGCTCTCCGTGGACTGTGCTGGGGCCTGCTGATTCTGTAGATTGTGTGTACCTGTCTGATGGATGATGTCATGGCCTCCGAGGCCATGGGAGGTCCCCGTGGGCCTGTTGCTCACTTGGGTTCTCTTGATGTGAGACTGGTGGTGAGGGAGGAGCTGCGAGCCAGGGCTGGCCATGGGCTGTGGGGGCGCCCAGGGCTGGCCGTGGGCTGTGGAGGCGCCCAGGGCTGGCCGCGGGGGATGGGGGCGCCCAGGGCTGGCCATTGGTTGTGGGGGCGCCCAGGGCTGGCCGCGGGGGGGATGGGGGAGCCCAGGGCTGGCCGCTGGGGGTGGGGATGCCCAGGGCTGGCAGCCGGTGTGGGGGGGCGTCCAGGGTTTGCTGGTGTGCCCCATGCTGCTCTGTTTCTCTGTCCCCTTTGGGTTTCGCTCCTGGTCCCTCCTGGGGCCTGTGGAGTGGCCGCCCAGCTCAGCCTGTACAGCAGGCCCCTGTCGCCCCACCCTCTGCAGTTCTCACTCCTCCCCACCACTCTGTGCAGTGGTCCCGGACCCAGCCCTCCCTTCCCCCAGACAGTGCCCCCACCTCCAGCTGCAGTTGGCCCCCATTGCTGCCTCCACTAGGAGCAAGTTGTTCTCTGTGAAGCAGCAGCCACATGTGCGTGAGCCAGCTGATGCCCATCAGTCAGTGCCAGGCCCCCTTGGCGGCAGTGGGAGTGGCAACCAGAGAGCCTTTGCCGGGTGGCAGTGTGGCAGTAGATGTGGTCCTGAGCCCAGGCTGCTCTGTGGCCAGGACGTGGCTGTGGGGCCCATGTGGGGTTCCCAGCGGCAGCACCCTCTGCCATGTGGGTGTGGGGTTGCAGGTCTGGGCAGACAGCTGGGTCTCCGTCACCGGAGGCAGGGCAGCGCTGACTGGTTCTGCTCCTGGCAGAGTGACCGGCTGCTGATCAGAGGGGGCAAGATCGTGAATGATGACCAGTCCTTCTACGCCGACGTGTACGCAGAAGACGGGCTCATAAAGTGAGTCTTGCTGTGGCGCATGGGCCCTCGGTGCCAGCTGCTCCAGGACCCTGGTCCCCGAGCAGTGGTAGAGCCCCCAAGAATTGGGTCCCGAGACCCTGTCGGGTGTCCACAGTGCTAAGCACAGAGCGGGACCAGGCATGGGCAAAGTGCTTGGCCAGTGCAGCCAGCCTCTCCACTGCCAACAGCCAAGCCACCCAGCCACCAGCCCCTCAGCAGGAGTGCCCAGGGAGCCTAGAGCAGTTCCATGCCGGCTGGCCTGGCCCCAGTTGGAGGGCACAACCCAGACTCCCCATCCTGGTGCTTTCAGACAAATCGGAGAACATCTCATCGTCCCCGGGGGTGTTAAGACCATCGATGCCCACGGCCTTCTGGTGCTTCCCGGAGGGATTGATGTCCACACGCGCCTGCAGGTGCCCGTCCTGGGCATGTCCCCGGCTGATGACTTCTGTCAGGGCACCAAAGCGGCCCTTGCCGGAGGCACCACCATGGTCTGTGAGTGTTGGCGCCCGTCCACCAGCTGGGTGTGGACCACGAGTGCTGCTGTGGGTGGACAGCTCTGAGCAGTGAGCCACCACTGGGATGGGTCAGCCTGCCCGTGCACCCACTGTCTGCCCCTGGGGTACAGAGATGGTGGAGGTGATGGGGGGCGTGTGGTGGGGAAGCACATACTGGTCAGCACTGTGGACAGCGCCCGGCTCCTCACTGGGGCTGGAGCTGCATGTGCTCCCTACTGCTTCACACTGCTTGGGGTGCCAGCTTTCCAGAAATGAGGTGGCCTGAGCCCAGGCTGTACTTTTTCTGTCCCTCCCCATTTCCCACCTCTTGGGGGAGGAAGGAGGCGGTGGGGGGTTGGTGCTAGGGGCCAGCTGACCAGCTGCCCCCACAGTGGACCACGTGTTCCCCGACGTGGGCGTGAGCCTGCTGGCTGCTTATGAACAGTGGCGGGAGCGGGCAGACAGCATGGCCTGCTGTGACTACTCCCTGCATGTGGACATCACTCGCTGGCATGAGAGCACCAGAGACGAGCTGGAGGCCCTGGTCAGGGACAAGGGTGAGCCGCGGGCCTGTGCGGGGACAAGGGTGGGCCACGGGTAGTCCCTGAGCCGTGACTGTCGTCTGCCTTTGAGCCAGGGGAGGGTGCGGAGGGCATGGCATGTCCACATAACTGGGCCTGGAGGCTCATGGGCTCTGCCAGCCCCAGAGATGCCCTCTGAAGCCCTGAAGGGTAGACCAGGGCTCAAGGCCACTTCCCGTGGCTCTAGCCATGGCCTCACCCCAGTGCCCTCCCCTGCCCGGGGCTGCTGGACTCACTTAGCTCAAGGCTTGCCCCCCATGCTCGCCAGTCCCTACGCCCCTTTGGCAGGCGCCATGAACCCTGCAGGCAGGGCACCCCAGGTGCTGACAGCAAGCTGCTGGCACTGACCCTGCTTCTGCAGACAGCAGATGCAGCGGAGACGTGGGGGTGCACTGGGCCAGCAGCCAGCACAGGACCCAGAGCTGGAGGAATGCAGTTCCCAGAGCCCGGGCTTCAGCTGACCCTTGCAGGGTCGGGGAGCTGGTGCAGCAGAGCACCATGGCAGGACAGGGCTCCCTGAGTGACTCCGCCCACTCCTCCCACAGGTGTGAACTCCTTCCTGGTATTCATGGCATACAAGGATAGGTGCCAGTGCACAGATGGGCAGGTATGGCAGGCGCAGGCAGTGGGCACGGCTGGAAGTCCCAGGCTGTGGCTGACTGGCTGTCCTGTCTCCTCAGATGTATGAGATCTTTAGCATCATCAGGGACCTGGGTGCCTTGGCACAGGTGCACGCTGAGAACGGGGACATCGTGGAGGAGGTGAGGGCAGGGACGGGGTGGGCGACCTGCAGGTGCTCAGAGCTGAATGATCAGTTAGTTCCACAACACCTTGAGGGAGGGAACACCAAGTGTGCTAGGCTAAATGGTTGCCCGGAGTCCAAGGCCACGCGGCCTGGCCAGGGTGGGAGCAGGAGCCCTGGTGTCATGGCTCAGGCCTTCCTAGAGGAGGAGGAGGTGTCCTGTCCCCCAGTCTAAGCCACAGGGGCCACAGTTTCCTGGGGAGACCTCCCCCTGGCAGCAAACAGCCTCATCCTCCTTGCACAGCCCAGGCAGCACAGGCAAGGGCCTGGGGCGCCCCTATACTGCACTGGGGACTGGCCAGCTGTCCTGACGCCCATTCTGCGGGGCTGCATGGTCTGAGTGGCCCATGGGCCCCACACCCTGTGTCCCATCCTCACCCCCCACCCCCTGGTGGCTCTGGCCTGTCCAGGAGCAGAAGCGGCTGCTGGCACTTGGCATCACCGGCCCAGAGGCCCACGTGCTCAGCCACCCAGAGGAGGTAAGCACCCACGGGCCCCAAGACCACGTGCCGGCAGCTCCCCAGACCTTCTCACTGCTTGTCACGCTCACCTTCACTTGGGATGGCCGGGGTGGGCCCTGGGGACTGTGGGAATCAGCCCAGATCCGGAAATCGGGCCCCAGGCTGAGGCCTCGCCCCACAGGGGTACCCTCATGGGTCCCTGAGGGATTCCCCTGCTTGCCCTGCCCAGGCTCTCATGTGGCCTGAGCCCCGCTGTGTCCCCAGGTAGAGACCGAGGCCGTGTTTCGTGCCATCACCATCGCCAAGCAGGCCAACTGCCCCCTGTACGTCACGAAGGTCATGGGCAAGGGTGCAGCCGACGTCATCGCCCAGGCCAAGCGCAGGGGTCAGTGTCCAGTCCGGAAGGAAGCCGAGGCTGGCCCAGGGAAGACGCAGCTGCCCCGAGGGCCTACAGGGAGGGGCTAGACCCAGGCCTCCAGAGCAGCCGCCGCCGCTTCCCCCACCCCAGGCACCAGGACAGAGCCCAGTTGAGTGTGTCTGTCCCCAAGGGCCCCCCATGGCTGTGGGGACGTTTGCGGCTGTGGTCAGCAGGACCCAGGCCGTGGGGCCCTGTGACTCAGCAGTGGGAAAACGAGACCGTGTCTGCATGAAGGGTCTGGGTCGCCCATCTCCCATGTTCCTGTCCCCCTCCCAGCCTCCCAGGAGCCACTGGTTCTGGTCCCACAGAGGCTTTGTGGCCCCGGCATGGGTGACGGGGTAAGGACCCACCTGGCGCACAGGATAGGGGACTGTGAGGTCATGCCGGGTTGGGTAGTGGTGAGCTGGGTCTGCAGGGCTGGAATCGTACCCCTGCCCCCCACCTGGCTCATGGGGCATGGTCCCCTGTCCCTGGCAGGAGCTGCCTCAGCATGCAGCCTGAGCTCCACAGTCAGGCCCTCGGGTCTGGGGCAGGTCAGGGGGTAGGCCAGGAGTAGATCATGGCTGTGCATGGCCCAGCTGCCTCGGGGTCTTGGGTCCAAGCACCCACTGCCCCTGCCGCAGTACCCTCTGCCCAGACTAACCATGAACATCCAGGATGGGGGCCTGGTGGGGTACTCACCAGGCACTCATGGCCTAACCTATGGCAGGCGTGGTTGTGTTTGGGGAGCCCATCACTGCCAGCCTGGGCACTGACGGCTCACACTACTGGAGCAAGAACTGGGCGAAGGCCGCGGCTTTTGTTACATCACCACCCATCAGCCCAGACCCCACCACTGCAGCCCACCTTGCCTCCTTGCTGTCCAGGTGAGTGGCCCTGGGCCCCTGGATCCCCAGAGCTGGATCGCCAGAGGACCTGTCAGAGCGGCCCCTGGCCCCACTGCTCACATCCTATCCATGCCCCAAGAACCCCCTCCTGCCATGGCCAGTTCCTGGCTGTACTGCCCGGCAGGTGGGTGGGAGCCAGTGGAGGGTGCCCTTGACTCCTCTCACCTTGCCGTGTTTTCAGTGGGGACCTGCAGGTGACAGGCAGTGCCCACTGCACCTTCACCACGGCCCAGAAGGCTGTAGGCAAGGACAACTTCTCCCTGATTCCCGAGGGCACCAATGGCGTCGAGGAGCGCCTGTCGGTGGTCTGGGAAGCGTGCGTGGTGAGTGCGGGAGTGGTGGGGGTGGCAACCCCGAACAAGACCCCAGCACCACAGCCAGTCTGCCCTCCTGTTCCCCAGGCCTCGGGTAAAATGGATGAGAATGAGTTTGTGGCCGTGACCAGCACAAACGCCGCCAAGGTCTTCAATCTGTACCCCCGGAAAGGGCGCGTGGCCGTGGGCTCGGACGCGGATCTGGTCATCTGGAACCCCAAGGTCACGAGGGTCATCTCAGCCAAGACCCACAACCTGGTACGTGCGGGGAGACCCTGAGATGTAGAGACAGGCAGGGTTGGCCCACGGGAGGAGAAGTTTAGCAGCTGCTCCCTCGTGGCCCCAGGAGTGGCTGGCAGGCAGAGGGGCTGGCTCCCCAGCATGGCATTGAGGGCGCCTGGCCTGTCCCCTAGAACGTGGAGTACAATGTGTTGGAGGGGCTGGAGTGCCGGGGAGCCCCCGTGGTGGTGGTGAGCCAGGGCCGCGTGGTGCTGGAAGACGGGGTCCTATCCGTCACGCCGGGTGCCGGGCGCTTCGTCCCCCGCAAGCCCTTCCCAGACTTTGTCTACAAGAGGATAAAGGCACGCAACAGGGTGAGTGCCCATGGGTCGGGCTGCTGCAGGGCAACGACGAGGGGGCCTCCCGCAGGCCGGGACCCTGGCACCCCGTCAGCTGCGGACACATGCAGTGTTCCTGCCACCTGGGAGGGGGCGGTTGTCACAGGCTGGCAGGATGGTGCACGCATGAACACGAGTGTGCACCTTCCCACACGGCCCCTGCCTCCATCCTGGCTCAGCATCAGGCCTCAGATGGGGAGGGGCTGGCTGCCCAGCCTGCTGTGCCTGCCCTTGGGGAGTCTCGGGGGGCTGTGGCAGAGAGCAGCCCTCGCCCTCCTTCAGGGGGTGATGTGGCCCCAGCCCCAGGTGCACGTGAGGGAGGATGGGGGCGGACGGGCAGGCTGGACCTCACACCAACCCCGGCCCACAGCTCGCGGAGATCCACGGCATCCCCAGAGGCCTGTACGATGGGCCAGTGCATGAGGGTCCAGTGCCTGCCAAGCTGGGGGGTGGCACCCAGGCCCGTGTGTCCTGCCCTGGCAAGATCTCAGTGCCGCCCGTGCGCAATCTGCACCAGTCAGGATTCAGCCTGTCGGGTGAGTCGCGCTGGGGGAGGCCCAGAGGCTGAGGGACATCTAGGGGCAGCCCTGGCCGCCTGGGGGACACCCAGGAGGAGGTGCCTACAGCCTCTGGGGGGCAGGTACCAGTCAAGGTTCTAGCCTGCCTCAGTCTCCCACACACCACACACCACACACTCCCCAGCTCTCATTGCAAACAGCAGCTGCCAAGGTGTGCCTGGAGGGGAGGGTGGTCCCTGCTGGCCCCCAGCTCTGGGACCAGGCTGCTGCATCTCATCCCCATGGGTTCAGCCTAGACCTGGCTACTCCACAGACCACAGGGGCCTGTGGGCACTTTGCTGTACACCTCGGGTGACAGGGCCTGGCAACCTCAGGGAGCAACCTCCTGGATGCGCCAGCATGGGGGTCGCTGAAGTCCTGGGTTCCTGGACAGCCAGCCCACACCCACCCCCGCTCCCCTGGCAGGCTCACAGGCGGACGACCACATCGCCAGGCGCACAGCGCAGAAGATCATGGCACCTCCTGGTGGCCGCTCCAATATCACCTCTCTCTCCTAGACCTGGAGACCACATGCTTTCCCAGAGGGCCAGTACCCGCCCCTGCCCTGTTAGTTTGTCCCTCCTAGAACCTTCAAGGTGCTGCTCCCGCCTGCTCCTCCCCCACAGGTGCACCCCTGGGGACCTCCAGTCTGTTCCTGGAGAACAGGGACCAATTTCACTGCCAGTGCAAGGTGGCCCAGGCAGGGGTGGCCCTGGGTACCACCAGGTGCTTCGCCATCAGCAGGGAGGCAGCCGAGGAGTGGAGCTCCGGCTTGGGAGCCTGCAGGTGCAGGCTGCCTTCCTGCGCCCACCACTGCCGCCCTAGCCGCCCCCGTGCAGGGAGGCGGAAGCCCGGGGCCCCTGCCTGCCCAGGACAGGGCTGTGAGTTCAGGGATTCCACAGAAACCAGTTCCCCAGCCCGTGCCCCCTCCGTGAGAAGTCCCTGGGGGTGAGAACGCTTGTAGCTTAGTTGTCACATGGTCCTCAGGGTGTTGTGCCCAGGTGAGGCGGGGACATTAAAGGTGTCTGCTTGGAGACTGCTGTGTGTGGGGCCCTGACTTCCCCCCATGTCCCTGCTGACTGCTGGGGAGTGGGCCTCGGGGTCAGAGGGAGGAAGGGCCCCCACACCCTACAGGTGTGAGGGGCTGTGGAGTCAGCTGGAAGGAACCAAAAGCTTCCAGAAACAAACTGCCAAGGAGTTCCCTGGCCTTAGCTGCCAGTTCTGCACTGCAGATGGCAGAGTCCCTGTGCCCAGGCCCACTGGCCAGAGGGCAGCACACACCTGAGCCCCCAAGTTGATGCCCCTCCTTGTGCCCGAGGCCTAGGCCTCCAGTCAGCATGGTGATCCGAAGCCAGGAACTTCCTCCACGTCTCCCTGGTGAAGGCTCCGTTCTGGGCACAGCCACATCTCCTCCGGGTTCCCCAGTCACCTGGGTCCCGGCTGAGGTGGGCAGGGCATGGGCTCAGGTGCTGAAGTTTGCCCGCTGTGGGCACGGCCCTGAACTCCCCCAGCAGAGACTGAGAGCGCGCCTGGCGGCCAGGTGGGACACAGCACACGGGCGCTGACACGATGCTGCTCAGCTGTAATTCTCAGCGGCGGTGGGGACTACAAACTGCCGCGAGTCAGTTCAACAGGAAACACACCCTGTGCCCCTCCACCTCTGTCCCTGCCGGGGGGGATGGCCCACAGCCTCAGGCAGTGAACGTGCCGGTGGTGGGGCCCAGTGCCAAGGGTCACGTCCAGCTGGGCCTGGGAGAGCCCAGGTTACCAGGCACACAGTCCTTGCCCTGGGCATCCATGACCTGCCAGCTAGCGGGCAGAGGGGCCACAGCAGGGGGAGGAGAGAGGACACTGCAGGTGACTGAGCCAGGTGGCACTGGCCTCCCTGGCCCCCGCCTGCCCTGCCTGGGCACTCAGCTCCTGGCAGCTGTAGCCACGGCTTGCTATCGCCATGCACCCTGGGTGTGAAATATGGCCAGGGCCCCATTGAGGAACGCAGTGCTGGGCCTCCCACGACGGCGCCGGGTCTCCAGCCTGTGGCGAGTTGGCCCTGGGGCCTAGCTGCTCCCGCCCGAGGGGCACAGAGAGCACATGGGCAGGGCAGAGCGCTCCGCCTCGCTGTCCGCCCCGGACTCTGGCTCAGGGACAGGGGCCGGCTCGTTCATCAGGTCCTGGCTCCTCTTCAGCCTGGGAGAGAGATGGGGGCTGTGCATGCCATGGCCTCCCCTTGCAGCTCGAGGACGGGGGTCCCAGCCTCCCCACTCCAGCACACGCTGGGCACTGAGCGGGACTGAGTGGACAGGGGCAGGGCCTGGGAGCTGGGGGCCAGCAGCCGGCATGGCTCAGCCTATATCCAGCCAGAAAGAGCCCTGGACCGTGCAGGTCCCATGTGTTGACAGGATGGGGGCCACAGCCACAGCCCCGCCCCAGGCCCTCCTAGGTGAAGCAGAGAGAGGCTCCTGAAGAAGGGAGGGCAGACATGGGTTCCACGTGGCCTGTCTCATCTGTCCCTCTGTCCCCCAGCACCTGAGCCCGGCACTGGGCAGGCAGCTGTGGGCATGGGGTCCTGACATGAGCATTCCAGCCCCCACACTCACTTTTCCCTGTTGAAGATCACAAAGTCTTGCTGGATGGCGTCCAGGCAGTCCTGGAGATAGTCATTCTCCTGCGGACGGGAGGGGCACAGCTGAGTCCTTGGCAGCTGCCAGCCGGGCCTGCCGCCCACGGCTCCCCTCCCCCACAGCCAGTCGCTGAAGCCCCAGGTTCAGCTCCCAGGTGGCCTTGTCCAGGAAGGAGGTGGCGCCAGTGTGGGAGCCTGGCTCCTGGTCCAGCGAGGGTGGCTGTCTCTCCACGGACTGGCAGGTTCTGTGGAGCCCCTGGCCCACCCATGGCTGGCATCTGCACACCCCCCATGGGAAACCTGCCACCTCGCTGCCTGGCACATGAAGAATTTCCTCTCCAGAGGAGACTCGCCAATGCTGGGGTAGGGGACACCTGTCTGACTGATCACAGCCTTGCCGGGGTCACTCCATGAGCACTGAAGCAGGAGGGGTCCCCAAGAAACCATGACATCACTGTGGGCTGGCGCACGTATCCCTCCAGCAGAAAGGTGGGGTCACAGCCACAGGGAAACATGGACCCCGGGAGAACACGGCACCTGCCCCTGCAGCGACCATGGACGGTTCAGGAGCCCACCCAGCCCCCTGCCAGATGGACAGAACACCTCAGGACACGGGCCCGCCTGACCCAGCACCTGCTCCCCTGCATGCCACCCACAGATCAGCAGGCGGCTCCAAGGAGAGAAACTGCAGTGCTGCGAGCAACAGTGCATGTCGTGGGGCACAGGGGGCAGCACCCATGGGAACCTCACGGAGCTGTGGCTTGTCAGTAAAGGCCCCCGTGGGAACATGGCTGGTGGACGTGGGACAGGACCCACAGACAGATCATGAGACAGCCCTTGGTTGGCGCCTCAGATGTGTAGGGTGGAGTGGGCACGGGACGTGGCCTGGGCGTTCCCCACGGAGGAGGAGGCGGAAAGCAGCAGGCATAGGGCTCAGCAGCTCGGCTCCCTACACATTTCCTTCTTGGTGGTCAGGAGGCAGCAAGAGGGGCCTGAGCGTGGGGGCCCCAGCACTCAGGGCAGGGGCCTGGATGGAGCTTCTGGCTTGCCCCACCCCGCCCAAGAACCAGGAAGCAGTTTGAAAAGGCGCCACTCACGCACAAAGTGCACAACAGAGGAAGGAAGAGAATGGAGAGCAGCTGAGAAATTCCAAATGCGGAACCCGAGGGGGGATGCTGTCAAGGTCACAAGGACACCAAGAACTCAGACGGGGAGGGCAGGGGACAAGGATGGCCGAACGCCCGCCTGGAGCCCCCAACCCCACGAGGGACCCGCTGCTGGGAGAGGTCTTCCCCACGCCAAGAGCCATCATTGCCTCAGGAGAGGCAGGCGGCCCTGGGACCCTGGAGGCAGAGTGCAGACACAGCGATGGTGGCTCAGGCCACTGCCAGGAGCCAGAAGCAGCCCTGCTGCATCCCCCTGCCCGAGCCCTCCCAGGGCTCAGCTCTGCCGGCACCGTGGACCAGGCTTGACCGTGGGCCAGGCTTGACCGTAGACCAGGCTTGTCTGCCACAGCACACCCTGCTGTCCCAGCCACCCAACCCTAACCCTAACTCTTCCCACAGCCAGGGGCACGTGCAGTAACACGTCCAGCCACTGCCGTACCTGTGTCCCTAGCCATACATGTGCCTGGGCACTAAGGAACCTAAGCACTGACACACCTGGTGCTAAAGCACTCTTCACAGGGCACCGGGGCAGGGGGCACCTCACAGCCCTCCCACGGGTTCCCAGCCTGCACTTGAGCGAGCGGGAGGGGGCTGCACACGCAGGGACCCAGTATGCGGGAGGGGGCCGTGTGCAGGGAGCCCCAGAGAGCCAGAGGGGCCACATGCGCAGGGACCCAACAACCCAGCGGGCAGGAGGGGGCCGGGCACAGGACCCCTGTCTCACCGACTGGGAGCTGTCCCGGCTGCTGTCCCGGGATTTGCTCTTGGCCAGCCGCTTCTTCTTCTTGTGCAGGGGCCGGGACTCCAGAATCATCTCCTCCAGCTCAAAGGTGGGGTCGCAGTGCAGGCGGCCTTTCTGCGGGGGCACAGGGCACTGAGCCGACCGCAGCTCCCCACCCCACCCAGGGCCCGCGGGGTCCCACGAGGCTTACGTTGGGCACAAAGCCCGGCTCCACCTTCTTCTCGCTCAGCTCATCCCACAGCACATCAGCCAAGGCCGGCGCCGCCTGCATGTCCTGGAGGCTGGCAAGCCGGTGCTCAGGGTTCACGGTCAGGAGCTGCAGGAAGCGCTGGTCAGTGGCTAGCCCGAGGCCAAGGCCAGCAGAGGGGCGCTGTGCACTCCACCAGCAGGTGGCAGCCAAGGCCCATCTGACAGCTCCCTTCCCAGGCTCAGGGGGAGCCCCTCAGACGGTAGCAGCCACAGTGGCAAAGCGTGGCTTGGAGTGGTAGCTCTGCCAGCTGCGGAGGGGCCTGACCATGGCCAGCAGCAACATGGGTCTACCAGCAGGCAAGCCTGGGCTCCCACATGGAGCCTCACCCCAGGAAGTGCCCAGGCCTCTTACAGTGGGCACAGCAAGGTCAGGGGAGCCCAGAGCCCAGCAAGGCCTGCACCTGTCCAGCTGTCAGCCCGCAGGGGCCTGGCCCAGGGACCTATGATATGGGCTGATGACCAATGCCCATGCTGCAGGTGCTGGGGCAGGTGGGTGAGGCTCACCTTGCGCAGCAGGGCCACTGTCCCCTTGGACCAGGAGGGCGCATACTGCACGCTCGCCGTGCCAAACAGCTGCACCAGGGACTCCACGGCGTTACTCGAGTGGATGTCATAGGGTCTCTGTGTGCGGGCGGGCAGACAGCTATGCAGGCCACTGCCTGCCCCAGGCACAGGGACAAGCCCTCCTCCCACCCCAGGGAGGGTGCGGTGCTGAGCACGGGAGGAGCTGGTGGATACAGTGAGGGCAGCGCCCAAGACTGTCCCACTAGACACAGAGCTGGTGGCCCAGGGGGTCTGTACCCAGAGGGAGACCCCGTGGGCGGGGCCTCCTCCCCATGGACACAGCCTGTGGTTGAAGGTGGACCCTACCCATCCCCGTAGCAGCTCGTAGGCCATCACTCCCACCGACCACCAGTCCACCTCAAACGAGTATCCTGTTCCGCCGTTGACAAAGGAATAGAAGATCTCCGGAGCTGGCCAAGGGGAACAGCAGCCTGTTGGGGCACGGCACCCCCAAACCTGGCCCAGGGCCCCTCACCCTCCTGGTGGACACCAGGCTACCCACAGAGCCACCCTCGGGCACTTCCCCACCTCAAAGGAACACCGGGGCAAGGGCATGGACAGGTCATCAAACGGGAGGGAGGGGATGAGGCCTGAGCAGCCATGGGCGGGGCCTGGGCAGCTGTGGGTGGGGCTTGGGTAGCCATGGGCGGGGCCTGAGCAACCATGGGTGGGGCCTGAGCAACCGTGGGCGGGGCCTCAGCAGCCATGGGTGGGGCTTGAGAAGCCATGGGCGGGGCCTGAGCAACCATGGGCGGCTGGGCAGGGGTCTGGGCAGCTGTAAGCTCACCCATGTAAGGCTTTGTGCCAGCCAGTGCAGTTGCCCTCTCCCCATCCTTGACAATGGTGGCAATGTTGAAGTCAGTCAGGTGGGCGTGTCCTGCGGGGTTAGCACAGGGGCTCAGGGACGGCCCTCCTCCACCGGCCCAGCCCGTCCACCTCCCTCCAGTGTCCCCACCCCTCACCTTGCTCGTCCAACAGGATGTTGTCAGGCTTGACGTCCCTGAACAAAGCGGGGAGAGGTGGCTCCTGCAGGCCCTGGTGGAGCTGGGGACTCCCAAGGTGCTCCCCAACCCACGGCCCAGGGCCCTGCTGACATTGGGACCAAGCACCCCTGGACAGGGCAGGAGCCACCTCCGAGGCACTGGGCACAGCCAGCCTCTCAGTCTAACCCCAGCACCCCACCCTCTGAGCTGAGTAGGTACTGCAGACCTTACTCTGCCCAAGCCCCAGGACTGGGCAGAACTGACCTTCAGGGCACCACGTGGGCCTTGGTGGGTGCCCAGCCAGTCTCCCCAGCACACAGGGGCCGAGCACGGGTGGGAGCTGTGCCGTGGTGGGCAGGCAGTCCCCAGCACTCAGGTTTGACACGGTCTTACGTAAGACAGGCTGGGGCTATAGGTTCCAGCCCCCATTTGCCTCCTCTCATCTGCTTGAAACCAGCACGAACGAAGTATGAGTCCCCAGGACGGAGTGGGAAGCCAGGAGGCCATAGTCAGGGCTGAGTTCCGTCCTCGTGAGCCTCCCGGGCTCAGTGAGGGCTGCTGGATGTGGTCTGCCCCAGGCGGAACCAGGGACACCGGTCAGCATGAGAGCCAGCCAGCGGCAGGTCCTTGGGCAGGTGCAAGGCGGATGAGCCAGACCCGACTCCGGCCAAAGCCCTGGCTGGCCTGGGCAGCGGCCTGCCTGTCTGGCGCACACGCACCTGTGGATGATACGCTGGCTGCGCAGGTAGTCGAGGGCCAGTGCCATCTCACACACGTACAGCCGCACGGTGTCCTCGGAGAACTGCACATTCTGCTGCAGATGGTAGCGCAGGTCCCCACCCAGCAGCAGATCCACCACCATGAACATGTCCTCCTCATCCTGGAAGGAGTACCTGCGAGCGCCAAGACAGGCCCTGGTGGGCCCCTGCCATCCCCAGGCAGGGGGGAGCATGGCAGCCACAGGGCAGGAGCCACCCTGCAGGGCACCAACCCACTGCCGTGACCTGAGACCATGGAGACAATGGAGCAGGCTGTCCTGAAAGTGACCCGCCTGGGGACCAGACAGCCACAACTGAGGTGGACAGCAGGCAGAGTTCACCCCTGGGTGCTTCAGCTGCCCCGTGTCCTCTAACGTAAGTCAGACATGAGGAAGAACAGAGGCACGGTGAGGGGCTGCCCCATGATGACCACAGCCACAGTGCCAGGTGGGCCATGGTGGCAGCACTGACAGGAACACGATGCAGACGCTGGCAGTGATGATGTCATTGAGGACGATGATGGGGGAGATGACATCAAACACTTTAAACCAGCATCATGGCTCAACTGGCTAATCCTCTGCCTACAAGCACTGGCATCCCACAGGGGCACTGGTTCACATCCCAGTTGTTCCACTTCCCATCCAGGTCCTTGCTTATGGCCTGAGAGAAGTGGAGGAAGGCCCAAGTCCTTGGACCCTGCACCCGCGTGGGAGACCGTTAGAGGCCCCTGGCTCTTGATCAGCTCTGCTCTGACTGTTGCAGCCATTTGGGGAGTAAACCAGTGGGTGGAAGATGTTTTCTCTTTCAAAATAAATAAATAAATCTTTAAATAAAAAACTTAAAAAAAAGCCGTTCCCTCTGTGAGTGGCTGGAGGGAATTCTGCTCATCAGCCAGCCCTTCTCACAGCAAAGATCCTGCGACTTCTCGGTCTCCGCGTGGGCAGAACTGAGCCAGTGTCACGCCCTCGGGAGCACGCAGCCTGCAGGGAGGTGTGGACGGGGCCTGGGCAGGGTCGTGAGGACCCAGGATGCCAGCTCCCTCTGAGCAGCCCACAGGAGCACGCCCTCGGTGGCACACAGCCTGCAGGGAGGTGTGGACGGGGGCCTGCGCAGGGTCGTGAGGACCCAGGATGCCGGCTGCCTGTGAGCAGCCCACAGGAACAGGGCTCTCCACCTGCAGGCATTGCTGGGGTGGCCCTGCCCTGCATGGCTCTGAACGGCAGCCGACACCCCCAGCAGGCTGCCAGGGTGGGAGGGGTGGTCACTGCAGGGAGGGAAGAAAAGCTGCTAACCCAGATGAGCCCTCAACCCCCGGGACCGCCCTCGGAAGCAGGGTGATGTGTATATGTGTGTATGTGTGGGAGGATGGTGTGTGTATGCATGGGGGAACATGAGGTGTGTATGCATGGGGGAGTGTGTGCAAGGCATGCACATGAGGTGTGTATGCTTGGGGGAGCGTGTGCATGGCTTGTGCATGCGTGGGGGCACTGCTCACCACAGGTTCACCAGGAAGCCGTGCTCCACCTCCTGCAGGATCTGCAGCTCCCGGAAGACGTTGCGCACCTCATCGCGCTCGATGCACTGCTGCTTGTTCATGTACTTCATGGCGTACATCTTCTCCGTGTCCCGCTTCTGCACGATGCACACCTGCCGGCAGTGCGGCCCGCTCAGCCCCGCCCGCAGACTCTGCTGCCCAGGGCCCTGGGCCTCACTGAGACACAGCTGCAAGGGTGCCCCCCGCAGCTGTCGTCACCTCCCGGTCACCTGCCCTTTCCTAGACCCCAGAGGACAGCTGTGGAGTGGAAGAACGCCCCTGGGAAGTTCCAATCGAGTGCAGGTGGTCAGGCCCTGGAGGGACAGGCAGACCTGGCCAAGGGCGGGGAAGTCCATAGCTTGGGCACCACCTTAGCCCCCTGGAAGGCTCAGCCTGGCTGGGGCCCTGGAAGCTCCAGGCCTACAGGTGCCACCAGCCTTCTGGGTTGCCAACAAATTTCTCTCCACCAGGAAAAAATGCAGCTGTATCCAGGGCTCCGAGCAAGGCTTCTTGAAAGCCAAGTGCTCACTGGCCGGATACTGCCCCTGAGAACCAGTAGAGAACTCTCTGGGCTCAGCTGACCCCTGCACAGCCCTCTTCCCCAGCAACAACAGCCACGTCCACAGCCGCAGTTACTTCCCACAGTGCCAGATAGGGCACTGCCTCCTGGCAGAGGGGTCCAAGCAGCCTGCCACTCAGCTCTGCCCCCTGCACCCCTGGCTGGGCCCCAGCAGGCCCAGGTGTCGCTCAGCAACATCCGCAGGCCACCTCTGTCCTCTGGGGCTGAGATGTGGCTCCATAAGCTTTGGGAGAATGTCTGCCACTGGGATCCCTGGTGAATGGCCAGCAGAGCCTTTGCTGGTCGTGGGAACAGACGCCCAATGGGGCAAGAACACAACACATACAATGGTGCCATTCTGGGCCTCCACCTGGCGCCCTCTGAGGTCAGACCTCCATGTTGGGTCATGAGACAGCCTTGGGGAGTTCCACATGGGCTCCGCCTCCTGATGAAGATCTTGAGGGTCTCTTTACCACCCCCATCTCCAGGGCCACCAGCCTTGGTGCCTGCTGGGGGGCCCTGGTGCCTCTCTGCTGTGGGACAGCCACGTCCCAGGACGGAGCGCAGTGCTTGCTCAGTTCATGGTTATGAGGGTCATGGGAGACACGCAGGTGAGGGGAGCACCTCATGGGCATTGCAACAGGAGGAAGTGGCTGGTCAGGACCATGGACTCGTCACTTCTCAGTCTTTCGGCTGTGATCAAGTGCAGGACCATGGACTCTGAACATCACCTCTCTCAGGAGCAGATACCCTTTGGCCTTAGCAGCGCTGCTGGGTACGTGGAGTAGAGGGTGCCCAACGGAAAGAACAGACTCCTCCACCCTAAGTACGGCAGCTGGCATGGAAGGTGCTGGAAGCTGCACTCTGGCTGGCCTGGTGGGGCAGGGCCCATCCACCCCCAAGGAGATCCCAAGGCCCTACAGCCATGGCCCTGCCTCATATGAGGGCCATTTCTGCCCCTCCGGGCCCCTCACATGACCCACTGCTCTCTGGGGCTTCCTTGGAAGAAAGGAGCTGGCCCCCACTCCGCTGCTGGGCACGGGGGAGGCAACTCTGGGCTTCCCCACCCTGCCCCAACCTCCAGCCCTCACGTGCCTGGGCCCAGGGGTCATGGTTGGGGGTAGTGTGAGCAGGGGGAACACGGTGTGCCTGGACTGCTCCCAGGGGCACAGGCTGCCCCCATCCTGGCATGGCAGTCAGCAGGATGCTCACTGTGACTTGCATGAATGGTGTGACCCACAGCCACTGCACTGTGGCTTCCACAAAACAAGCACCTCCACCCGGACGGCTGGAGCACCGGGTCATGGCCAGAAGCAGAGTGACCTGCACGGACGCCACACAGTCACAGCAGGAGACTCAGCCCAGACCCCACAAATGGACGGCATGAGGAACAGCAGGCCTCGCCTCAGCTCAGTGTGGAGGGCGTCAGGGCCTCCCAGGGCCGTGATGGCCTGCACTTGCCTGCACCAGCTCTGCTGAGAACCTCGGTGGGCCCAATCCTGGCTCTGCCAGGAACAAGTGCCACTCCCCAGCCAGGCTACACACTGACCACCATTGACTGTTGTGGCCACCTCTGCTGGTCAGGGCAGCCGCCAGAGCAGAGAGGTGTGAGCTCCTGGCCTGGGCTCTCACATGGGAGGTATCTATTTTCAGACTTAGCCAGGCAGCTGGCAACCATGGTGCACGTGGAGTTCTAACCCACTTAGTGCAGGCACATGGCAGCCACCACGATCCACAGGCGAGGCCACCAGGCCACACTTCTTTGCTACTGCGGTGGCAGCAATGGGGACAGCTGTCCCGGCCAGCCATGCTCCTGGGGTTTTGGCTAAGGAGCCCAGAGCCCAGGCACAGCATACGCAAATCAGTGTCCATGGCAGCAGGCTGGGCCCTGACCTGTTGCCCGGAGTAGGCCTCTGCCGCCATCTCCACAGGCCACCTCATCCTCCTCCACTGTCCCCAGGGCTGATCGTGGGCACCAGTATCCCACTTCCAGCCATGGCTGGTGAGCCCGACTTTACTGCAGAAAGGTCAGCTGGATGCTGTGGGTGGGAGGCTGAGTGGGCACAGCTGGAGTGGCCAGCAGCCCCAGAGAGGGGGATGGGGGAGGGCTCCAGATTGGCTGCTGCTATCCTCCTGTGACCCCCAGGGCCAGCATGTGGTCCTGCACAGGCTGGGTACACACACGCAGGCATGAGGACTCCCTGTGGCCTGAGAGGTGGGAGAGGGCATGGTAGGTCGGCCGTGGGCAGCTCGCTGGCCACAGAGGGACGAGCATGGGGCTGAAGCCAGAGCACGTGATGCTGGCATGAAGGCACCAGTCCTGGGCAGCCAGAGAAGGCCAGCCCAGCACTCGCAGACTTTAGAGACACTGCTGGCCACCACAGAATTCTAGAGGCCACTGCCAGCTTGTCCCTTTGCCCAGGCCTCCACAGTGCTCAGGTGTGCAGGGCCATTGGTCACCCTCTCTACACTCAAAGCTTGCAGGTGAGGTCTCCAAGTCCAGGGCCCAGGGCCTCTATGTCCCTGGGGGAGTAGCCAGATGCACGACAGAGCAGCCACACAGCAATGGACATTACGTCACCCCAATATATATATCACCCTGCTGGCATGTCCAGGCTGCATGCTGCTAGATACGAGTGGACACACCGGCCCACTGAGGCGTGCAGGCCACTTTTCAATGGGGCTGCCAACACCAGCACCCTGAGGGGAGAATCCCACAAGGAAGCACTGCAGGCAGGGCTGGGTCCAGCAGCCCCACCCCAGGCTGACCAACAATGCATCTGTGCTCAGAGCTCCGAGCTCCTAGCGGCCACATCCCACGATGGACGTGGGACACCCAGGCCCAGCCTGTGTGGCACAGAAACATGGCCAGTGGGCCAAGCTGGGCTGTGTATTGCCATGGCAACAATGGCTGTCTTCTGCTCAGAGGGCAGTCAGGAGGCAGGTAAGGGCAGTCAGGAGGGCCTCTGCCCCTGCGGGGACACGAGCAGCCTGGGCTGGCCTCTGCCCCTGCGGGGACACGGAGTGGCCTGGGGTGGCCTCTGCCCCTGCAGGGACACACAGCAGTCCTGGGCTGGCCTCTTCCCCTGTGGGGACACGGAGCAGCCTGGACCTCACAAGCACTTGACATGTACAGCACAGCCCTCCTCCTCAAGTCCCAGGATGGGTGTCACTCCCCCCAGCCAGGGTCACCTGCCATGGCCAGATTACGTGGGATGGCAACCACAGGCCTACTCAGCTCCCAGGAGCGCAGGCTTGGCTTCTGTGAAGGAGGCAACAAGGCTTTGGGCATTGGAAGATTCTAGAGCTGGGACACAAGGCTGTCAGTACACACAGCCCCAGGAAGCTTCACGGAAGCCTCACCACCGGTGCAGTAAGTCTGATGTGTGTGACGGAGGTGCAGGAAACGCCACACCCCAGTCCCGGGCTTGCTCAGCTCGGGTGCCACCTTTCCTCCCAGCTGCCTTGACGCGTGCGTGCACCCGGCCCCAGCTCGGGTTTACTTACAGCCTTGGCTGGGTCTGCACAGGAGCTCAAGGGGGAGACATACATAAACTAGAGTGCTGGGTGGGTGCAGAGGGCAGGCGCCCTCAGGCCCAGGCTGCACACAGGCCAGTACAGGTGCATCCCTGGAAAGGGCTCCATGAGCTGGGGGCAGGGGCTGCCTGCGGGAGGAATGGCACTGCCCCCTGCACCCAATGGCCACCCTCTCCTGCCCCAAACCAGACCCTCCCAGCCAGCTCCCAGCCAGCACCCCTCCCTGGAGAGCAGAGCCTGGAGTTGGAGCGGCAGGATGGCAGGGCCTCGGCCAACAGCCCATCTGAGCTGACAAGCCCCCCATGCTCCCTGGAGCAGGGGCCTTACCTTGCCAAAGCTGCCCTTCCCAATGGCACGAAGGATCTGGAAGTGGTCAAAGTTCACTGCAGAGAGAAGCAGAGGCTGGTAAGGCCAGGAGGCCTGTGCCTGTGACCCCTCCCTGTGGCACCCCAGAGCCTGCCCCTGGGCCACCTCTCCCTGTGACACCCCAGCAGCCTGCCCCAGGCAACCCCTCCCTGTGGCACCCCAGCAGCCTGCCCTGGGCCACCCCTCCCTGCAGCACCCCAGCAGCCTGCCCCAGGCGACCCCTCCCTGTGGCCCCCCAGCAGCCTGCCCCAGGTCCCTCACCCTGGAGGAGGATGCCTCAGGACACACGCTGAGACAGGGAGGGAGCAGACAGCCCCAGAATGCCAGACCTCTGGACTCAGCCCAGGCACCCACAGCCTGCACTGGCAGCCACCCTATCCACCAAGAACCCTAAAGGTGGCCAGGTGCCTAGGAAGCCGTGTGCACACTGGACAGGCCTAGGCGTCCAGCAGGCAGAGAGGCACCTGCAGCTTGGGAGTGGGCCAGGGTCTGTGCAAAGCAGAATTTCTGCAACTTTCTCACAGTCCGTTTCAGGGACATCTGTCCTAATCACCAAGGTCCCACCCAGGGATGTTCCCCTCATCCCAACAAGCTGTGGCCAGCTGAAGCAAGGGGCTCAACGTCCCTCACTCAGCAGCCCAGAGGGTCACCCAACTAAAGAAAAGCATGTGCTCTCCGAGGGGCAAAGGCAGGGAATAAACACAGGTCAGAATGACATTTCACACCAGCTCCCCCCCTCCACATGTGGGGTGCCATCATGGAACCAACCCGGGGCGCACGGCCAGGGTGCTACTGCCTGGGACCTTGCCTGCTCATAGCAGCCTCGGCTTCCCAGGAAGGGTGCACCCTCCCTGGCTTCAGCCTCCACCAGAGGACAGGTGGCCTCCACAGGAGGTGGCACCTGGCATGGCCACAGGGAAGCGGCTCAGGGGAGATGCAGGTGGGATGGGAGAGCCATACTCTGAGCCAGGTTTTGCCAACTTCGCCTTGGCCAAATCCCCTAGAAGCCAGAGCAGATACAGTCCCTGAGGGACGAGGGATGGCTGCAAACACAGCCAGTGGGGCCCAGGGAGCAGCTGCTGCGGCCTGACGTCCGGGCTGCAGCCACAGGACACCTGGCAGCTCACAGGCCTGTCCTGACTCAGCCCCAGTCAGGGCCAGGGGGTCCTGCCCTGCCAGGGACAGCATCGGCACACTGGACTCCCAGGCCACGTTCCAGGTTGGGGCTAGGGCCTTCCATACCCATCCACCCTACCCAGTGCCCAACCAAGACCCAGATGCCATTTCTAGCTGCTCAGGGATGCTGGCTCTCGTCCCAACAAGCGAATGGTGAGAATGGAAACTGCTGACAGGGACCCTCTCCCAGCTCTGATACCCAACGGTAGAGCCAAGTGGTCCTTGGGGGCCAAGCCAGAACTGCCACAGCCACGGCCAACCTTCCCAAACCCAGCGGAGGCAGGGCCAAATGGAAAATGGAGGGCCGAGTTGGGGGTCTTCCTCCTCCCTGGAGGACAGGTGCCAGGAGGGGTGGGCACTGGGCTCTACAGGGCCTCCGTGGGGGTTTCTGATCAGGGCAGAAGCCAGGGCCTGGAAACCTGGGGACCTGAGGACCTGGGGCCCAGTGACTGGGACCAGGCAGCTATGGGAGTGCCGCCCACTGTGACGCAGCATATAGGAACACACTGCACCCCTGCCCGGCCCCTTCTCACAGTGCAGCCTCCATTGGAGAGACACTGGCCCTGGCTGTGAATGGCACGGCCAGGCAGCCCTCTCCTAGATACAGTGATCTCAACTCTGGGTATCAAGGCTTCACCTCTGCAGAAAGCTCCATGTGCAGAGCCACTGTCCACCCGGGCCAGGCTGGGGAAGTGGGTCGGTCAGTGGGCCCAGATGCTCCACGAGCCCAGCCAGGTCCTCCCTGGGTGACCGGCCGCAGCCTGGTCCTCCTCGTGCCAGCCTGGATGCCTTCACTGGGAACGGCAGCCCAGGGAGAGGCCCAAAGCTCAGCCGGGACAGCAGCTGCCACCCCACCACGCCTCACACCTGTCGGCCGAGTCGGCCGGCCGAGACAGCAGCTGCTGCTCTGGTACCTGGTGACCCCTTTCTGAAAGACTCAGTCACTTGAAAGACGGACATCAGACACAGCCATGGCAGAGCTCAGTCAGGACTGGTGGGCAATGCCAGACAGCACACACTTCTGCCCGCAGTGCTCCACCGTTCCGGGGAGCTGGGTTAGCGCTCCCAAAAATAGAGGCTGAGTCACCTCCATTGTCACAAACAATGGCTACCTCCCCCAACCCAGAGTGGGGGGAGCTCTGCCCAGGGGTGAACCTGGTGGGAGGACAGCTGCCCACCGCCCAGGCACCAGCTTCTACAGGGTTACCGAGGCAGGGGTTAGGCCCAGCCCCTGGTCCACACTGGGAAGGGGTCTCACTGGAGAGGGGGTATCTTGGGGCCTCACATGCTAACCACCGTTTCCTGCTGTCATATGACCCCTCCCTCCAAGCTCTGAATGTTCTTGGAAAGAGGAAAACCCTGTGGCCAGGCCACACAGACACCTTAGGGACACTCGGCACCCCAGCCAGCTCCCCATGGCCTACAGGCAGCAGGTGCCACTGTGGCTACCTGTGGGGCCACAGCTGAGGCTGTACCCACTTCACATATGGGAAGCTGAGGACCCCTCCACACACACACACACACCAGCAGCAGAGAAAGGCGGGTCCTGTGCCCCTTGCTGGATGCCCAGCCCTAGCCAAAGGCCCCGGCCAGTGCTCAGGACATCTCAGGACCCAGAGGCCAAGTCTGGGAGGGCAGGGGATCTGCTTTTCTCCGACCTTGGACTCCAAGTCACACCCAGGTAATGGCCACCACCCATGAGGACCCAGCTGTTGCCTTTGCCACCCCCATATCCAAGCAGCAGGTCAGGGACCCATGGCTCAAGGACAGCCCCTTCCCAGCCCAGAATAGGTCATGTCCCAGCTGAGCTGCTGTGCTCCTGGGGTTCCAGAAGGGTCCTGCCTCCTGCTGCCCAGGAGTGCGCCCAGGCAGCATCTTGCTCCCTCCCTCCTCCAGTGTCACTGCCAGTGAACCGTGCCAAGCAGCCACTGTGACTCCATCCTGTCTCACCCAGAAGGCTCGGGAATAGCCATGGTCAGTGCTGGCTTCCCAGACTCTGTGACCCCGCCCCATCTTGCCCAGAACCACCTGGTGCTGGGAGCCAGCACTTCTCCACCCTCATCCATCAGCTCGATCAATGCGGCCTCCTGGCCAGCCACAGCACAGCTCCCCAGGGCCCAAGGGGAGGGGAGCAGACATGGCCAGGAGTCGCCACAGTGGCCAGAGTGGATACCAGAGTGGGTGGCAGGAGTACCTGGAGCCTGGTACAGCACAGGGGGCAGGTGCCCAGGCCCAGCCCAACAAGGAAAGGACACCCCTCTTCCTGCTGCTCCCCGGCCACGGCTTCCCCAGACCGTGCTGCAAGGCCTTGGCCCTAACCCCACAGCCTAGACACCTGGTGCCTAGGGCAGGCATGGGACACTCCCCAGGAGGCCCAGGGTCACTGTGGCCAGGCCAAGGGGCTGGGCCCCATGAAGCCAGGCCAAGGCCTCCCACATCCCTCAGCCTTGGTCCTTGCAGGAAGACAGCCCAGACCTGCGGCCCTGAGCAGCAGCAAAGTCATGAGGGCGAGGGTGGGGGGCAAGAGGAGAGAGACAGGGAGCCCCACCTGGGGCCAACATGGGGACACCCCCACCCCAAGGCTTCCCAAGAGTGTATGGGGCCACTGTGTAAGAGGCACAGGGTCCTGGCAGCTGGACTCACTGTACCTGTGCCCGCCAACCCCTGCTAAGGACAAGCAGCAGGCCTGACCCTCCAGCCAGGTCCCTACAGACCCCAGGAAGGTGCCCAGAGCAAGCCCCCTCACAGGAGGTTCAAGGCCTGGGAATTGGATGGGGCAGGGTTCCCTCCTCTGGCCCTGTAGGCCAGGGTTCCCACCTCACACGCTGTGCAGCACATAGATGCCCAGCCACTGAGGCCTACGAGCCCAGCAAGGAGGGGAGAGGGGGACTTTCCTGGCCAGAAGGTCCCTCCCTGGGGGCTCAGAATAGGTGAGGAGTCAGGACTGCCAGGGGTAGGGCAGGCATGCTGGGAGCATCACTTGTCTGTCACTGCTGCTCACCCCAGGCACAGCAGGCTGGTCACTCACCAGCTCACAGCCCCAGGCCCCTGTCCTGTAACAATGGGCTGTGCTGGATACCAGCAGTGGACAGAAGGGACTGTCATGGCCTCTGCCCCAGGGCACAGCCTGCAGGCCTGCTGGACTGACCACCCTGGAAACAGGGCAGGCACTCCCAGGCAAGGCCTCCACAGCCCGGCAGCATCTCCCTCCCGCCCCCTCCGCAGTCAGGACACACCCAGCCTGCCCAGTTCCCTTGGGGTCTGCACCAGTGCTGCAGTAAGCCAGGGCCCATGGACCCAGTCTGGACATGAGGCCCGGCCCTTGGTCTCAGCTGAGCAAAGCTCTGACCCGGTCACAGCTGCACCCTGGGGAGGCCCTGCTAGAGACAGCTTTGGACAGAGGCAAGGGACAGGCAGGACAAGAGACTCCCGGCCACCCTTCTCCAGAACATTAAGGTTAGCAGGGAACAGGCTGCACTCTGGGGACACAAGGACCCTGCAGTCCCCCATCTCAGACACCCAGCCCCCACCAGTGCCACCTCACTCGAGGCTCCACAGTCCTGGAGTCACAGCAGTGACCTGGCAGCGCCCCACGTCCCACACAACTGGGAAAGCAGCTCAGGATGTTGCTATGGTAACAGTGTCAGCTCCTGCGTCTGCTTATAGCCTGGGTGGCGCATGGGTGTCCTTACACCCAGACGGCTTGCGGGCCACCCACAGGCCCACCCCCACACCTGAGGGTCTGCAGATGGCCTGCGGGCCACCCACAGGCCCACAGCCTGTGCATGGCTCTGCACCTGCTCACCTGTGGGTCTCCATGTGGTGGGGCCTGTGTGTGCTG